TGGGGCTTATGGCATCTGGCAAGCCCTCCGAGGTTCTCCTGGATAATGCTCTTTGTTTCAGAAAAACCTGGATATAAACCCCAGCTTGGCTATTACTACCTGTGTGTCTATTTACTGCACGGAGCCTTGGGGTCCTTGGCTATAAAACAGGGAGACTCCTTAAACTTTCAGAGTTGTCGAAAGGTTTGGAGAGAACATGGCACATACTTGGTGGTCAGACAGTATGGGCTCTTAGTATGTTATTATGAAATGCTTTGTTATTCTTATGCACAATATACACTGCAAAGGAGAAATGAATGGCCATGTTTGAACTGAGTGCTCTGGGGGAAGTACTGGATAGTCTTGGACTGCAAGTTCAGCACCTTTGTGTACTCTGTTCCACATCATCATTTGTGTCATCATTATCAGCCAGGATGGAGTGTGGTGCAGTAGAATGACATAAGCTTTAGACAGAGGTTCAGTTGTTAAAATCTTTCTACGCAAGTGCAACATACACACAGAAGAGGGCACAAATCCAAAGTGGAGATGAATCAAGTTTCACAAAGCGGACAGGCTCATGTAACCAGCATGCAGATCAAAGACAGAACACGACCAGCACCCAGGAAGCACCTCTCCACCTGCCAGTTGTACCCACCATCCTGACTTCAACCACCATAGATCTGTCTTGCCTGTTTCCCCCATTAAATGTTGTGCAAAAGGAATTTCACATTATGTGATTCACCCAAGTAGTTTTGGGTAGCTATAGTTTGTTCATTCTCATGATTGTCTATTTTGTTTACTGAAAAATAATGACTGTATATATGTATAGGGCAGGATGTGAGATTTTGATCTATGTATACATTGCAGAATGTTTAAATCAAGCTCATTAGCATATTAATCACCTCACATACTTATCACTTTTTTGTGGTGAGAAAATTTAACATCTACTTTTTTCTCAGTTTTGAAATATATAAAATCATGTAGTTTTCCACTGTGGGACTTCCACAATTTACCCACTCTCCTGAAGGGAGAGTGTCCTCATATTTTGGTGAAGTCTCTCTCTCTCTCTCTCTCTCACACACACACACACACACACACCCCACAAACTGGGGTGCCAAAAAATGTATGCACTTTTTTTTTAAAGGAAAAAAAACTATATCAAAATTGTAATACTGTCCTGCCTGTTGAATGGTGATGCTAGAGTTCATTTGATAACTGGTATATTTTGAGTGAATGTCATACTATACATTGCTGCCGTAATTCAATTCAAAAAGTAATACATAGATAACATCTCTTAAAATGTGTATACTTTTTTTGGGGGGGGGGCTTTGGTATACTTAGAATTTTAAAAATAGAAAAAGAAAATATCATAAAATCATCATAGAAAGTTCCTCAAGAGGTTGGAAGAAGTTAAAATTAATTCCTCTGTGGAAAGTAGCATTGAGCTTGGTCTTGGAGCATGAACAAAAATATTGTAAGAATCGAATAATACATAAGCAAATGTTAGAAAGTATAAGATGTAATACAAATGCAAAGGCTAGTATTTTAACTGGTGCCCAGGTTAATTCCTTCCTCCCTCCCTCTCTCTCTCTCTCCCCACAGCCAAGACAGCCTCAACCTGCTGGGCTCAGGCGATCCTTCCACCTCAGCCCTCCAAGTAACTGGAACTACAGGCAGGTGCCACAACGCTTGGCTCAGTTTTTGATTTATCGTGGAGATGAGGACTCTCCAAGTTACCCAATCTGTTCTTGAAACCAGGAACTCAGTCAATCCTCCCACCTCCACTTCCCAAAGTGTTAGGATTATAGGCGTGAGCCACCATGCCTGAATAAAGACTCACTGTTTGTATCTGTATATTGGAAATAAAAATACTTGCCCCTCATTGTTGTGCCCAGGAATACTACGTGCAGGGTCTCTGACCCAATGTAGCTCCTCCCTCTTCCATTCTTCCTTAACCAGCCAGAGCGCCCTCTGTTCCAGGACATGGCCTTTTCACTAGGCTTCCTCTTGGCCGGGAGACCTCCACATGAATTTGGAAAGCTCACCCGCTGTCCAGGGCTTGTGGGGCTGCCTTTTCCCCGACCTATTTGCCAGCTCTCCTTTGTGAGCCTAGACACTACCTTCAGAATCTTTCTTAACACGGTGCTCCAGGCTGCCACTGCAGAGTGACAGGCATCAGCTCTACCTTGCTGTCTTCACATAGCCCCTGTGAACAGGGCTTCCCCAGGCCCAATCTCCCCCTTACAGCCTGACTCTGGGTGTTTTGGGAATAGCAGGTTTTGCCTGATCCTATTGGCCTTTTATTTATAGTTATACCCTCCACGTCACCTTCTTATTTTCCCCTGCTTCTTGCTTCTCTAGTTCATTCATCACCAACACGCAGACCAACTTTTTTTGCCCCTAAGGAGAAATCTTTATTTATTTATTTTTGAGTTGGAGCCTCACTCTGTCGCCCAGACTGGAGTACAGTGGCCGCTCCCGGCCACCGCAGCCTCGACCTGCTGGGCGCCAGCAATCCTGCCGCCTCAGAGAAATCTTTATTTACAACTTTGTGGAAACAGTTGAAGGGCCCAGGTGGTGGCAAAGTTATGATTACTTAGGGAAAAACAATGTGGCAATGAAGATTTCCTTCTGAGAAACTTTCAAAAGACTTAAGTCTTCTACCTGCTATTTTAAATATATATATTTAAAAAATGTTTTTGGTCAGATAACATATTTACATGTATTCATCTATAAAAGATACTAAAGGGTCTATAGTAAAGAAATGATCCCTTTTCCTTGTTCTGCAGTTACCTCGTCTTCCCTGGTGGTGGCCAAGAGGTCACTAGAAAAGGTATCCGTTTGTAAACTCTTTAGGCTTGGTGGGCAGACCCCTGTTCTACTGTATACTTGAAGGAAAATTTTATGTAAAAACAAGCACACACATATTCGTGTCTGCTCCCACAACTCTGCAAAAATGATGGCATACTCTATAGACTGTTCCAGACTCGACTTTTATCAGTTAAACTAGAGGTTGGCAAACGATAGCACACAAGTTAAATCCAGCCCGTCATGTGTTTCTGTAAGTTTTGAGGCAGGCTAGCTAGGAATGGAAAATTACTGAGCAGGAGGTTAAGGGAGTTAAAAACTTTCCTGTGATTTATAATTAGTAGGAAACTGACACAAACTGCCTATGGCTTGTAACTGATATGAAATTGATAAAGCAAAGCAAGATAAAAACAAAGCAACATTCCCTACCTTCTAGCACTCACCAGCACTCCCCTCTCAGCTTGTACTTTTGGTTCAAATTAAAGCTCCTTTCTTTTTTCTGTGAATTCTTTACTTCAGCGGAGTTGGAATGGAGGTTCACACCTCTTGGAAAGAGACTTCCAATTCCTTAAGGACTCATCCGTGGCAGCATGCTGGGCCTAACTGGGCAACGCTTTCTCTCACTAAAGTGATCCTCCCCAAGCCTGCTGCAATCAGCTTTATTGTAACCTCTGTTCATTGGTTGACATATTCTGTGTGGTGGCTTTCATGTTACAGTGGCAGAGCCAAGTAGTTGCAACAGAGCCTAAAATACTACCTGGCCCTTTACAGAAAAAAGTTTGCTGACCTCTGAGTTAAATGAGTTAAACAATGTGATAGCCTTTCCGTATCAGTACAGAATGAACTTCCTCACTTTTTTTTTTTAAGTCAGAGTCTCACTTTGTTGCCCAGGCTGGAGTGCAGTGGCATACTAACAAGCCACTGTGGCCTCGACCTGCTGGGCTCAGGCAATCCTTCTGCTTCAGTCTTCCAAGTAGCTGGAGCTAAAGTTAATTTTTTTTTATTTATTATTTTTATTTTTTTTTTGAGTTAGAGTCTCACTCTGTTGCCCTGGCTGGAGTGCAGAGGCATGCTCATGGCCACCACAGCCTCGACCTGCTGGGCTCAGGCAATCCTTCCACCTCAACATTCCAAGTAGCTGGAACTACTGTTTTTTTATTTATCGTAGAGACAAGGTCTTGCCATGTTGCCCAGGCTGGTCTCAAACCCCTGGAATCAGACAATCCTCTTGCTTCTCTCAAAGTGCTGGTATTACAGGCATGAGCCACCGCACCCAGCTTCTCTTTTATTTTCATGGCAGCATGTTATTTTGTTGTATGGCTGCACTATAATTCATTTAACCAGGCCCTCTTTATGGATAGTTATGTAATTTCTGATTTTATTTTTTGTTTTAGAGATAAGGTCTGGCCATGTTGTCCCGGCCAGACTGAAACTCCTAAGATCCTACCTTTTCAGCCTCCCAAGTGGTTGTGACTACAGGTGTGAACCACCATGCCTGGCTAATTCCTGACCCTTATTTATTTCTGATCACTATTTTGCTGCTAGAAATAATGCTGCAATGAATCACTTTTTCTTTTATCTCATTTCCCCCATGTGTGAATATATTTACAAAATGAAGTCCTAGAAGTGAAATTGCTCCATCAAAGTCTGCATGCCTTTACATCTAATGTCAAATTGCTGCCCATGGAGGTTATACCAATTTACATTCTTTTTTTTCTTTTTTTTTTTTTGAGTTGGAATTTTGCTATGTCGCCCAGACTGGAGTGCAATGGCCGCTCCTGGCCACCGTAGCCTCTACCTGCTGGGCTCTGGCGATCCTTCCACCTCAGCCTTCCAAGAAGCTGGAACTACAGATGCACGCTACCACGCCTGGCTAATTTTTGATTTATTGTAGAGATGAGGCTTCACCAAGTTGCCCAGGTGGGTCTCGATCACGCGGACTCAGACAATCCACTCACCTCAGCCTCCAAGGCACCAGATTACAGGCTGAGCCACCAAGCCCGGCTCCAATTTACATTCTTACCAATGTTATGAAAATACCTGTTTTGGTCCACCTAAGCCAGCAGAATATTTGAAGCCTCTTGATATTTAACAATCTGCTAAGTGGGAAAAAAAAGTATCCCAGTGTAGTTTCCTTTGCATGCCTTATTCTAATGTGTTGCTTATCCTTTCATGCACTTATGAGGTGTGTGTTCCTGCCTCTGGCTGACAGTTTACTCTCTTAGTCTGAGGATCTTCTGGAGCCTGGTCTCCTCCCTCTCTGGCTCTCTTGTGTCACTAGCACAAACAAGCTTTTTGGGAACAAAAGCCTTTAGGACAAACTTAGGGTGGCAATTGGTGGCATCAACGTTCCAGATATCAGGGTTGGGAAGCCCAGGGGGAGACCTGCAGGGGCTCCTCATTCTGCTCTGAACTCAGAAGACTAATTTTCAGATGGCCCAAGATGTCCTCTTGTGTCCTCTTCCTCCACAGAGCTTCTGTTAACACATACAGCCTCATGTTCCTCCAGCTTTTTTATGGGAACTATGTGGCAGGCATTATATTTCCAGCTAGCCATCTTTTTGGCTTTCTTGGGGTTCTGTCTCCTGCATGATACCAGGTCGTACTGGAGTCTGCTGAATGGAATTTGATGGTGGTGAGGATTATAAAGGCAAATTTCTTTCTTTCTTTTTTTTTTTTTGTGTTGGCGTCTCACTCTGTCACCCAGACTGGAGTGCAGTGGCCACTCCCCGGCCACTGCAGCCTCGACCTGCTGGGCTCCG